TACATTTGGTTTAATTTGACTTGTCCTATATCCAGAATTTGTGATCTATTGGATTAATAAACATTATTATTATTATCATTATTATTACTATTATCATTGCTCCCGTAATTCCAAGGCAAGCTCTGCGCTGCCACTTGCTAAGTATCTGTGTGTTCTTCTGGGCGAAGGTCTGATGCCACCACTCCAATGAGGCATACGTAATAACTAGTATATAATCATTTTTGTGTACCTATATCCAGTGGGTCATTTTTGGACGGCCCTAGTTCCTCACCCCTTATGTGTTGCGCAATAAGTTTTACGTCTCTCCACGCCAAAGGCAGCTATGTACCTATCCCAGGGCAAAATTTGCACTTAGTAACATACATAGTGTGGAGGCTACCAGGTTGAGACCTGGTTCTAGTAGAGCAGAACAGATTCCGCCTTTCTCTGGAGATTTAAACGAATGAAAAGTCCCTACTGCCCATCTATCATTGGTTAGGTTCGCTATGTACTGAGCCAAAACCCAATCTTCTCTGTTCCCCCTGAGAAACGGTTTCAGAGTAATTGGTGCGCCTGCGCCATCTTGAGCGAGGGTCTTTGATCCCGGAAGGTGTGATTGAACTCCAAGGTCTTCTTTGCGGTTTCTATTTTCTTCAAGGAAAATAAGTAAACCTCTTTGGAGCTTGGCAAGTCTGGCACCTTTTGAAATTTGTTTAATTTTCTCACAGTGCTTCCCCCACCAGTCATGTGTTCCCTTGTTATAATCCGTGAGTGTGGTTCGGAATGAACCCCACTCCCCCGTGTTTTTACTTTATTAAAAAGCTTCCTAGTCTGAGAACACAATTGCAAGAGTCCCTCGTGCCACTAAGGTACTTATTTGAGGTTCTCCTTTCTTTCGTGAGACACTGGGCACCTTTGATTGCCATGCGTTCTCCTCTTCTTTCTTTCTCTATATCCTTTTTGTCTCTTCTCCACACTCTCTTGTCCGTAACTGTACCTCCCTTCTTAGTCGCCTTTTTCCCTTTCTTGAACTCTCATTGCTCATTTCGATCGGTTGGTGATCCGATTCTATTCTAGTTTCTTTCTTAAATTCTTGTATAATCAATTACCGACCTCTCCCTTCCTTCCATATACATGAATTACTCGTCCCTATCTCCTTCCTGGAAAATGTTACGTTAGTTCGCAGTGTTGTAACACTAGGGTGATCAGAGTGATTCCCATACGAATATTTCAAGCGGCATATTTTGGCATCCAATAGGTACGCACACGAATTCAATACACGAGACTAGCGCAATTTCAGACTGTCAAAATTTATCTGTCGCTCAATTAGCAAAGAGATTCACGTTGGTCTCTCTAAATCATGCGCAATATTACTGCAAATGTTTCAGTCAGCGTAATAATGATTTACCGTAAATTAAGCACGGAGAGAAATATTTCAAACGGTACGAATAATTGAAAGCAATTGTAAAGGGAAACGTGTACAAATAACAAAATACACTCATCAAAAGCTTAATTGAAAAGAAAACATTCTCAGATCCCTTTTATCCCTCTTTTACACAAAGCGTGAGGATAAAGGGTCCTTGAATTGTATACAGTCGAGTCTATTTCTTTGATATTATGTGCAGTTTAATTAGCCCGGTTTCGCATTATAATTACGTCGTTTAATTAACGCCCACTTTGTGGTGAATGCATATTAATAAGGTTTCCCCCTATTGATTGTTCAGTAGATTTTAATTAAACTACCTATACATGCACCTATAAGATTTCATCGACCGCTAATATTATTTCCCGAGAAAGAAGGAGAGCATTACGACGTAACTGAAAAAGATGACGTGATTAGTAATGGCTTTTCATGCGAAGCATTTAATTAAGAATTCGGATGTTTCCTTTTGATTAGAAATGCCTCGCCTGATAACGTGATATAACATCTGATTCGGATCGTGTAGGCAAAAGCACCCAGCACATACCACCCCCAAAGCCATTAACTAACGTACAATTAAAAGTCCTCTCGTGGATAACGCTCCTCAAATCGAAATTTGCGTTATTAATAATAAGGTAATCAATTAGGTTAAGGTATGAAAAACAAACAGACGCCGTTTTATGGCCGCGTGGCGTGTGTTCCGAAGATAAACTACCCTTAGAGGGAGAGGAGATACTGACCTAAATTGGTATTAAGAGCACCGACACTGCCAATAAATTCATTTGCGTGATACGTAAATTAAAACATTCCCCCGTGAAGAATTTTGTTCTTGAAGCAATACGGTTGACGTCCTTTGTCTAATTATAAACCGTGTCAAATTAGGCTGACGATATGCTCTTAGATTAATTGGGCTCGTTTAAAAAATCGAAATTTCTCCAGTACTTCTATTGGATTCGTTATGGGAACGGCACGCATCGCAGACTGTTCCTACTGTCTATCAATGCACAGCCCAAAATGGCGAATATTGAGAGAGGAGGAAAGATAATTATAAATTCAGTCGCGAAAGGTAGGTATTTTCTTGTAAGTTGAACAGCGCAAATAAAATAGTTGATGATCTTGAAAATCGAGTACACTCGTGATATTTCTTAATATTGAAATTTGATAGCTAGGAATAAGCGCAGTTAAATCCAGAAAGGAGCCCTGTATTAAGATTGTTGATACCGTTCCACTCTTGGCATTTCTTTTCGCAATCCCTCAACTCTTCGGTAGCATGCGGTGTACCAATCAAAATGTCGTATGTCATCAAATATGATTTGTCATTAAATTTTTAAAATAAAGCGGTGTTAAATTTTCCCCTCTGAGTTTCTATTTCCTCCCTTGTATAATGCATAATTTGCATAAGGAAACATTGTAAAATCACGTGGACTAAAAGAGTAAAGGAGGCGTTTGATGTGGTTTTCAACCCAACCCCTAGCCATCCTATATTCAGACACAATTTAAACACGATAACATTTTCTGTACTGAAATGTCACAAAAAACTAAATTTGCATGGTATAGTCAGGAAATAATTTAAAAACCGAATTTGTGTACGAAGGAACTGAGATGTAAGAAAATTGTCGCAACGGTAATTTATTATAGACGAGAATGAAGAATTCACTATATACATCATTATGGCATGGCACAACATCAAGCGATTTCAATAAAATCGCAAAAACAAGTATGAAAAAGAATTGAATAATTTTGTTTTTGGAATCTAACTCTGATTTCGCATTTATATTCGGTATTTTGAAATTGTAATTTTTTGTACCTCATAATTATGTGCTCATTTTTTTCCCGTCGGATACAAACCTCGTTTCTTGCTGTATGGTTTGGGATCTTAATGTTTTTGAATCATTGAACGTAGAATAGAAATCAAAGTCTTTTCCTACGCTAATTCAGTATTGCATTTTCTTAAATTAAATTAAAGAAATATGATGAGATAAAGAGTCCCACTAACTAAGGATTCACAGTGGTTCTTCAAAGGTAGTTTCTTTAGTCTGGTATTCCTCCGAAAATCTTAAGTAATTCTAGGAAAAATCCCGAGCATACACTGCGTCTCTACTCGACTCACCTGAATTTGAACATATGATTGATAGTGAAATACTCTACTCAAATATGAACTTGCATCTGATTACTATTTTTAGGGGAGAAAACTACACCCGTTTGCAAGTATAAAATTGTAGCTTCAAGCTTGTATATGAAATTTAATTTTAATAAATTAAATAAACATCAATTGATTAATAAACTATGGTGAATTGAAAATTGTTAACTCTAAACGTGGCAACGAACATTTGCACCCCCTTAAAAGTGCAAAATAAATATTTTGACAAAATCCAAAAACTAATCAATTGTTATATCGAGGGGGGGGGGCAATTTTTATGTAAAACTAATTAATTAAACCCTGTGCTAGGGCTTGTAACCCTAACATTTTTTTGCATGGGACGATTATTTTTTTGTTATCGAGAAATTGTGCTTTAAAGTTTCAAACTTTAAAAATTAATAAAAACCCAAAAAAGTTTAAACTAACAAATGTATTGCTGGAAATAACCTCCAATCAAACCAAGATCTTACATTTATCAAGATCCAATTTGTATTCCCCTAAAGTATAGGTACCCTTTCTTGAAAATTCACACGCGTAAAATACTCCCCCAGAATACTTTCCTTAGATAGAATACCCGCCCCAAGGAAAATTCACGCAGCGGAAAAAAAAGTTTTCATAGGCAATCATCAAAACACTCATTGATAATTTGTTAATCACTAATTTTTTGGTTTTAAACAATTGCATGAGAATTCATCCCTCAAAATGTCTTCGCTAGAGCATCTTCTCCCTAAAATATAACCACGTAAAGTACTCCCAAAGAATATTTTCCTTGCCTAGAAACTCTTCCCAAGAATACAGGCCCTAAGGAGAATTCACACTCCAGAAATAATTATAGGCAATTTGTTTCAAGAAAATCTGTCTTTGGAATAACTGCTTCGTGCTCCGTTTTTGCATTTAAATACCTTGAAATGTATCAACAATTTAGCTACGGTGTGACAGCGTCACCAATTACCAGGGATTTTTAATAGGAAAGCTCACCTCGAATTTGTCCGTGCAATATTCGCTTCCAAAGCTAAGTAAGCTTTCCAAAATTGAAACTATAAACAATTTTCCTCAAGGAAATTGTTTGGGAAAGGTTCAACCCGAATCCATGAATCATCTCCCCCTACAGAAATTTGTCTCTCTAATATTGGTCTCTCTATTTTCTCTATTCCTTCAAGGAAACCCCCTTCTTTCATTGCTTTAAAATTTATCAGTAATATCATTAATAATCATTTATACTCCTGTGTCTTAAAATAGGTAACTTGTTACCATAACAAACAGGCATTTATTTAGTAAATAAATCTCTCTTAGCTACAATAATGGGTAATTTTCGCAATATTCGTGTCAGCAATATTAACACTCCCAAGAATATTTTCTCCAAGGAAAATTGTCGCTCCGGATATTTAAATTATAAAAAATTGCCGCTCAATTAGTCAGTTTTGAATTAGTATTCCGTATGCAACTTAGTGAAGCAATATCATGTTGAACTATAAGCTCATATACGTAAATTACATTTTCTTTCAGGACTTTTTTGGAAGGGTTGAACTATCATATCACATTTTACTATTCTACAGAAAAAAAACGAACATTTTCGGAAAAGCAAAAATTACAATTATATTTAACACAATTTTATTTCACCGTCACTTTAGTTGGTATACTCATCACTTTCTAGTGTATTATTAAAATTTGTACCTTTAACACCTGTGGCCGCATGGACTGAATGTCGTAATTTTGCCTTTTTTTGTCTTTTCTGTTTTTAATGTGTAATGTTTTAACATCGTCGTCAACCTTAATGCCTACTGGACTAGGACTTCCCCCAACTTAACCAACTTAAATTGAGTTACCAGTATAACCTAGTGCGGGCGTATACATAAAGACAAGAAAACTTTGAGTTTTAGGATTCGTTAATTGCGGGGTGGTTCGTTTTCTTTTATGCACTTAACATACTTCTATATGAGAGATTAATGAGTGCATTCATTTACGTGAAAATTGCACAAGAATTTCTTTAACATTGCAGTTGGCAGAAGTTATTTAGTAAATTAAAGCGGTTGTACCCGGCTATGATACCGATAGATTTACATAAGAAGTGAAGATAAATATGATTCTTCTTAGACAAACTTTTAGTTTGCAGTTTAAACAAACTGAGAACGTGAAATTCGCTACGTCAAAATTAAAATAGCTCATTATATGCCGTATAGGAAAATAACGAGGAAAACTTTGCATAAACTTTCACGTGCGAAGTGTGTTTACCTTTTACTTTATTCGGTATAAAGTTGCTGGCAAGCAATTTTACACGTTTTTTTGTTACAGGAAGTAGAAATACTGAAAGCCCTAGTTCTGGGCGAAGAAGAACGCGGACAAAGTCAGTACCAAGTGATGTGCTTTATTTTCTATATAAAAAAAGATGCGTTTATATCGTCGGACGCGATGTCTAAGTTACGCCAGAAAAATCCGGGCACAGTTCGGACACCCGAGGAAGACAGGGGACGTGAAAATTACACGATGGACTATACGGTTGATGTCAGCCGATCCATGGTCTTCTCCCCGCACATCGTCGATCTTTGCTCTGAGGCTTCGGAGTCCTCATACACTCGTTACGAGGACATCCAACTCTGGAGTGCAACTCAAGGTTAGTACTTCCTTTAAATTTCACACATTGTCGATTTTACCCCTTAAACAAAATATATCTTTGGTAGCAGATGTGCGCAATGCGCCCCAGGTGCGATTCAAAAACTCGCGAGGATTGAAAACCACCGGATTATGGAAAATGAACACCGAATAAAAATGGATACATTCAGTTTCTCTATAACCCCCTTTAGCTTATTTATTAAAAGAAGTTGACGGCAGCTTTTTAACTCCATGAACTGAACTTCGTTCCCGACAATTTATTTTGTCCCACCCCCTCTCTTCATCTTATTAAAAACTTTTCGCGACTTGCTTATTTTGTGTAACTGGAAAGTTCTCTGTATAATATCGTCTCATCACGAACTTTTTTATACGATCAATTATTAATATGGAAAGGAAATCTCGGTCACTTTATAATGCATCGATTGAAAAGTCGATTCATTAATTACGGCTATTTTAAAAGTGGAATTCCCTAAATCTTTCCATTTTAGTTTTAGTTAATTAATGCTATTACGGGCAACAATCTAAATTAGCGTTAACGAACAATCTTATCGCGTTGATAAATTGGAAGGGCAGGATGGGCACGAATAATAATTTACATATCTAATTAATTTAAGGTCGGAATAAATATTGCGCGCATACATTTATTCGAAGCTTTCGTCATGTAATGTTAAATGATGGATTTCGTGATATTCGCATTGTGCGCGTATCATCCATTAAAAATAATACACTTGTCTTCCTTAGAAAACTGTGAGGAGATAAGCGAGACAATTTTAGGAAAGCTTAGGTGAAAATCGCTCGAATATTCGGATTAATACTACACGTATCGTCCATTAAAAATAATTTTCAAACGTACTTTCCTTCTTTGGGGAATCGTAATAGAGATTAGTGAGACCATTTTAGAGATGCGTACATAGGAATTTATGAAATATTCGGATTGATTATAAATTTATACGTATCATCCCTTAAAGAACACTGTAAAAGTTTTTCGCGTATGCTCAATTTTATTAAAAATAATTCCCAAATTAAATTGGCTTTCATAGGGAACGTAATGAGGTGTAGCGAGACCATTTTATGGATGTTTAGATAGAAATTTTTAAAATACCTATTCAGATTGTTTTTAAACTTGTATCATCACTTTAAACGCTATAAAGTTCTATTCATGCAATGGTATGCAGTCAATTGCACCACCCGCAAAACACCTGCCCAGCTAGCGCAAACAAATCAAAATTGAAATTTAAAATTTGCATAATTTCTCCTCGTACATTTCCGGCATCTACCACAAAGAAAACCCGTAATATTGACTAAAATTAAGGTTTTGGAAGACTCAATGGCTTCGATCAAATTCCGAAAATTCCAAATAACTTACTGCAATAATTTTTATCAACACCTAAGATAAATCTTGGACACGAGAAGGTAAATCTGACATAAAGATTGCATCCGACTGTATTCGCGAACAAATTTCCTGGGAAATGGAAAATTTCTCCGGTAGGTATTCTGGCACGATTCGTTGTGGGCGGGCGCACCATCCTGTTGAAACCAATGCTTTCCAACTTTTGTTTTTTTTTGTATGCCGTATATCGTTGTATTCGTATGAACAAATGCTATTCAATACAATGTGTACTTTTTTTACAGGTCATATAAACAAATAAAGTTGATGATGATTTGCCCGAAACGTTGTATTGAAAATCTCTCAACGGTGTCTTGTAGAGCTCAAAAAGTGGCAATGGCGGGGGGTTTTCTATTCTTTTGTATCTGTTGGAAATAAATAAAAACGAAATCGGCAAATTTCGGTTTTTCTTTACCGCATGATTACCCTTTAATTGTGCAACTTTTCCCTAATTTGACCATCTTCGTATCTGCTATGGTTTCCAAGTTCCCCACATTTTTATATATTGTAGTCATAAGGCCTTATACGCGCTTCAATATACGTCAATTTTCCGTTAAACTACGAAATACTTGCTGCGCTGGAGCAAGAAATTTAACGTTCATTAAGCGTTGTGAATGCTGTGCGGTATAAAATTGGGTCATGACTGCCGATACCTTAGGATAAGTTTGTGCTTCTGATGTCAGATTAGATTTATAATACATAAATGAGATGACTAATTTAAAGTATGAGGAGAAAATTAGTTCGTCTTTGTAATCCATAGTATACGCCATTCGATAAGATGATGAATCTCTAACATTTCTCGTTTTTGGTTTTCCTCGGCACAAACTTCATCTAACTTATCTCACTCTTCCTGCTGAATTTTCATTTTGTACGGTTGAGTTGTTATCAGTTCTTTGTGAAACGTTTTACCGAACTAATGATTTATGATTTTCTATATATAATATTATATAGATTTCTATACGGGTCTTAATGAAAATTTCATCGTAAACCTTTTCTCTTTTACTTCCCCCGAGGAAGACAAAGAGCAAAGAATTCGGAAACTGTATATATAGATATAAAATCACAGACTTAACGATAATTGAAACGATATCAAATTTTGAAATTATGTTAGTAACCATGGCGACTAAAATGTCCGAGCTCATCAACCCCACCGTGTTAGGGGATACCCTAATTGAGTTTTATAACTCTCCGAGATTCTGAAACGCACTGTCGTAGATTTAAGTAATATAATGTAGTATAAGCCTTTGTCTCGTAGGACCATGATATATTATTCTCGTAGGAGACAAACTTAGGTATTCACTACTCACTCACCTTTAAACCAAACCGAAAAGAGTTTAAGTTCGTACAGCACTCGAAGGTACAACAAAAGCGGCAGATCCACATAAACCAAAACGGCATCCATTATTTTACTTGATGCCGCTGTCCTCGCGCTAATTGCGTGCCAAAAATATAAATGAAGCCGTAACGTTAGTGCTTGATTAAAACCACGGGGCTCAAACGAGAACTGAATTTAAAAGAGCCAGCACACTTGCTAATTTTCATTCAAAATGATGTACCGATTTTTTGCACCCTTTGCCTCCGCCCTATTTCACAAGTATGCGCCGGAAGTGTCGGCAATCCCCTAAGACGATCCTCACCTGTAATAAGATTAGGAAACTTTTAAAAGTGAGCGCGAGAATTAGAAAGCAAACGTAAGAGGTTCAACACAAACTGCTTAGGAATGAATCAGAAATAATGGCGGAAGTGAATGCTTTTACGTCCAAATTCCATTAAGGAATACGTTTACAGGTTACGCATCGTTCGATAGCACAACGTTTGAGTACATTTTATGGAAATATTAAAAGGCTAAGCTCCAATACACATTATATTCTGTGACATTGGTTTATCGGTTGCTTGAATTGTTCTTTTTTATTTAGGAAATTAAATAGAAACAAGTTAGAAATTTACACATCTCTATTCTATTTAAGAATATACAGTTCTATATGGGACTGGACATACCTGGGAATTTAGTAACGCATCCAGGAATATACAAATCGGAAAATGCACAGATACCTTTAGGAATCTACAGATATGTTTGGGAATTTACGGATCTCTAGAAATATACCGATCTTTAGAGATGTATTAAATGCTTTGTAGAATATTCCAAAGAATAGAAAACTTCCTGAACACTTTTGGTGCGCTTCAATGCTCTTCATCGCGTCTATCTTGCTCGAAAAAGGGCAAGGCGTACTCATATCACCTTCTTGAAAACTCTTAGAAAGCTCTAGGAGGTACACCGAATTCTCAAAAGCTTTCTAGAGAAATCGTACCTTTGATAGAGATTTCTAGCGTCTTACAAAAGTGTCTGGGCCCATTTCTTTACGTGATTGCTGGGGCCTTGAAGGCATTTCTAATCGAATGGGCTACAAAGCGCTAGAAGGCTCTGGAAGACTATATGTATAGCAAAAAATCAATGGAAAAATGGAAATCCAAAGAGTTCTTGAACACTTATGAGGAATACACCAGAAGAACGATTCTCGTAGAAGTTTCCAAGGTTTTCTGGGTTTTTTTCTAGAGCCCCCTCTCGCCAGTCCTATGTCCTTTCCCGAATTTTCAATGCTAATGTGATTCTATGAACGCACATAAGATTCTGAATATCACATTAATTATAATTTAGTTGTTCGAATATAAACTTGCTTATTCACTACTCTTCACCACGATTTCACTTATAATATTTTTTTACTTGTGTATTTCTTTTGAAAAGTTCACCCGCTCAATAATTAATAAATAAATAATCAAACCCATGTTCTCTATATATAAAATTCTTCTGTACGTGCGTTTTTGACTGAACTTCTAAATGGCTGGGTGGATTTTGATGAAAAAAAACCTAAACAGTTCCAGAAAAGATCTAAAAGACTGTCTAAACTCTTTTAAACAGGTTGCAGTCAAAATGTAAAGCAATCGTTGAAGAGTTGGGCCTTTTCCAAACCGCTAAGCCCATCATTTTCATTTTTTTTTTAATCAACTGGATTCGATCATAAATTATCGATCATCATAAACCACAACGTCGATAGTAAAATTTTAAAAAATCGCACATTTGATAGCTCCGTAAAAAACGATTCTTAAGTTGGTTGTTCACGAACTTTCCACGGATATACCTAACTAGGTTACGGTTGGATGAATGAAGCTGATTTTTTTACAGATGATGAAAGGTTAAAACCAAGTCAAAAAACACACAGGAAACTATCAATAAGAAATAAAATAAATGCCAACCACGTAAAGCAAATTGGTTGTACAGGTGGTTTTATTACCCGAACTACGATTTTTCTGAACTTCGATTAAGTATATAGTTCTTTTAAACTTCTTTTAGGTTCAGCCTTAATTTAAAAAAATTACGTCGAAAAACCAAATAATGCAATCTAATTTAGCTAAAATTTGGCGAATTATTTGATTTGTGGAATTAATGAAGTGCTTATTTCTGCAATATTGCGAATTTTGAGTACCTATATAAAGGGCAAATACCAATTACGAATTAGATTATCTTACTGTAATTAATCAAGCAGCAAGGATTTTGTATACAGTCTCTAAAGAATCTCGGAAACAGGTAAATTGAAAAGTTTTTGCTTTTGTTTATC